TGCTTATGACGGTGATCGTGCAGATCACTACTTGATGCTGCCCATCAATTCAACTTCAAGGGGTTTTAAATATATCAGAGCCATATTATTCTCCCAAAGGGAATGCCTGAAAGATTGTCGATTTTTGATTAAGGTTGTCAAAAGTTGGGAGTTTCGAATTTACAATACACACTTTTCACCGCTTTCAGTAAGGAAGTTCAAGAACTAGAGTTTAAAATTTGACTCCTGTAACTAATATTTATTATTAGGCGATCACCGTAATAGCGCCGAGCATCCGATCGATCGTTGGTTAGAGAGAAAGGGATATCTATTGGGTTCCAGAACATCTTCGAACGAGGCTTCGAAAAGAAAATAGACGTAAAATACGTGACACGTTCATAAAGTCACTGGATTCTGTAACAACATAAGAAAAACAGAAAATAAAATGCTTCATACCTCCGCAATATGTACTCGTATTACTCGATCCTGTAGTTTAGCAAATGGGACTGTTGGCAACCTGTGTGCATACAACCGAAATTGATGAGCTAATTCAACTATAGCTTGAATGCGCAGCCACAGCATTAGAGGACTCATTGCTAAAGACTTCATTCAGCCTAATAAATATAACCTAGGTAAAAAGAGTCTATGTGCTTCCCGGAAAAAACTTCGGTTTTGCCACTCCCAATATCGGTAAACTCACCATGCAGTGAGCTTGATGGAAGGCCTTAGCATGCGGCGACTATATCTCTGATGACACCTTGCCACAGAAAAATTAGAAAAATATATCCAACCAAGATGTTCGGGATTCTCGACTGGTTTTATTGCTACAGTTTCGGGTGAGGTATTTGCGTTTGTGATCTGTCAATACTGAATACAAACAAACATGCATATACACATATTATCGTCCGATTGCCGATAGCCCGCACTGATCTTACGATCATCTGAACATTGTTTCATGGAAAACGCTGGAGTTGGGTGCGGTGACGCAGAGGCAAAGAATCTACACAATCTAGCGAGACTGACAAAACCGAAGACTTCGTCGATTACGTATTTTGCTGCGTTGATCATGATGATGACGGTGATGTGAAAGATCGTTAGTCAAAATTATGTAGGCATTTCGATTGTTCGTATAAAAAGATATGCTTATGTGAGTGTGTGTGGTTATGCTCAATTGTTTTGCTCGTTGTTGTTGTTGTACGTACCAAGGTATTACATGATTCTGTTGTTGTTGCGATTGATTCGAATGGAGCAAAGTTAAGTGGTTATCTGCTTTCGAGTGGATCTGGCGCTGACTCCTCTACAAGCATCCTCATGTACATACACACTCGTACAACAGCGTAGAGGTGAAGTGTCGAGAGATAGAGGTGAATATTGAGAAGAAACGTAGAGGGTATGCGGGTGTGCTGCAGTGAGTCGTATTGTAGCAGATTCGGTGTTGCTAACACTTGTAACAATTGATTGCTGGAATGCGCGCACTGATTTGGGTCAACTATTTTGTCTTCTTTTTTTTTACTTACAAAAGTATGTAACTTCTCTCTCTGTAGCATTTTTTTCCTCGAGTTTTTGTTGTTGCTTTTATGTTGATTTTTGGTTTTTTGTTTATTGGTAAATTCGTTTGGAGCGTGTTGTAGGATTGTTTGATTCGGCTCGTTTGGACTTTTGTGTGATTTAGATTTGAATATCTTGAAAAGTCTTTCTTTGATGATATGTGTTCATGTCCTCAAAACATTTATTACTTTATCGAGTGGCAGTCAAATCGTGGCTCACACTTTTGTACTTTGCGTTATTGTGTTGTGGTCGAGGTGCTAACTGTACAATTTGAAGTTAGAAATACTGAAAAAATGTGAGTTGCACAAAACAGCGTTTTCATATGCATTTAGCATGTACATACATTAATGGGAAATTATTTTTATTCCCTCTACTCGTAAGTTCTTTCGAAGAATATTCCTCAAAAATTCAAATCAATGTTAATAATTTACCCTGTAACTTGGTTATCAGACCGTTAAATATAGATTAAAAGTATGAATATATATTTTTTTGAAATGCTGGCTAGTCTCTCTAAATGTTTAAAAAAAAAATTTAAAAAAATTAATAAGTACAATAAAATGATATTAATAAAAATTAAACCAACAACAATAACATAAAGTAAAAAAAAATAAGTTAATATAAAAAAATAAAATAAAATAAAATAAAATAAAATAAAATAAAATAAAATAAAATAAAATAAAATAAAATAAAATAAAATAAAATAAAATAAAATAAATAAAATAAAATAAAGTAAAATAAAATAAAATATAATTTTAATAAAGTAAGTAAAAATGAAATAGGATAAAAAACTGTAATACTTTATGAAGAATATAAAACATTGTCACTTCATCACCTTATTTAAAAATTTCTTGGATGAAAATATTAAACACCGCGGTTTTGGCAATAATGCCATTATTTAAAATTTCCAAATTTTCTGGGGAAAACAACAAAGGCATCGTTATCCCCTACTTCTCAACCACCTGGCGCCCAGCCACTCCAAATGAACCTTTGTCTCCTCAAGTGTCTCAACGTATGAGACCACTTCAAGAATGATTAGAAATTACCAATTCGAAAGTATTTTGTACAACTGACTAAATATGGCCAACAAAGAAGACAAAAGAAAAAGTCACAGTCGAAAATACAATAGATTGAGCATTAGACAATGCAACGCCTCTGTTAGTTGGCACTGTATGTGCATTTGTATATATGTACTTTTAGATGTTGTATACAACTTGACATTGGACAACACTACTTCACACCGCACGCTGATGAGACGACACCTGCCATGCACTGTTGCAGGCAAATGTTACTTACTGGACTTTGGTGATGGTGGAATGGCGAAGGCGTTGCCAATGTGTATGGTAACAAGCGTAAAATCGAAGAAAAGAACATTTTGACTTTTCGAGAGTTGCACAGCGAGTGTAACAGCAACAGCACCAATCCAAAGAAGCAAATGAAAAACACCAACAAAAAGGTGCCGGCAAATCAAGTATTTAACAAACGAAAATATGTCGATCTTCGTTTGTTGTTGTGTTTGCTGTAGTTTTTTCGTTTTGTGCCCATAAAGGATTTTCACAGAATTCGTATAGCACGTTATTAATTTTATGTTCATAGCTGAATGTGTACGAACAGTCAGTGCTGCGCATGTGTACCGACAGAGCAAGTGGCGTGGAAACAGTCATTCAGCGGGTGGTAGCCTCCCTGGCCATCTATCTACCTAGCGATCGTACAAACTAAAGGTACAAATTTTGTATACATTTTTGATGCTTTCTGACTGTCATTCTACATTTAGCCTGTTGCTTGCTTCCAGCAACAATTTGTAGCAGCGGCGGGAAACGGAGACAGGTGAAGGTTGTCAGCTTCGTTTTCATTTCGTGGTTTTTATTATCCCCTCACATTCGCACTGTCTGTATGTATACTAAATGTAAGCGCTCATGAAATTTGATTCCCGCGCGCATACTCTTACATATATCCAGTTGTAGTTGGCATCAGTCGGCATCAGCATCGCGTGTGTATATTTTAAATTCAATTTGTAATCTTTAAAAATCGTCTGTTCTATAAATACATATGTACGTACATGCGTGTATACAGTAAATATTTGTAGCTCATTAAACTGTCCTCAAGCCTTTCGGCCAGCTTCATCGCTGCTGCCTGTCCACCTTTGGAATGTGCATAATTATTTATTATTTATTAGTAAAATGTTTATCACCATTTCTCACTGTATTCTCTCTTTCGTTTCAGGTAAGCACTGGATTTTAAAAACGATTTCTGTGGTATCGGTTCCCGGTGATCGGCGTTGGCATGCAAATGCCAATATATAAACATTCATATGTATGTATGTGTAACTCTATGCATTTGTACAGGATCTTTATCATGCTTACAAGTAAGTTGATTATCCTTCGAACATTTTGTGTCATTTGGGTAAATAGTCATATTGGTTTGTTTAGACATTGTCTGGCGTCAGTGTGATTGCCTTTGACATTTAATAGTTATAAATGTGTTTATATAGGATGTTGTTGTGATGTTTACAGAGTCATGCTATAGCTTTAGCATTCGTGAATGGTGGATTAGTTAAGATAACACTAGGAACATAAATACATATATATATATATATATATATATAGTGACACTAAATGTGGCATAGGACTAGCCATTAAAATTATTTTTTATAAATTTATAGTTTCAATAATAATAATAATAATAATAATAATAACAATAATAATAATAATAATAATAATAATAATAATAATAATAATAATAATAATAATAATAATAATAATATTAATAATAATAATAATAGTAATAATAATAATAATAATAATAGTTATAACAATTGAAGCAAATAACTCTCTTTCGAAAGTAAACTTTACCGTCGCAACAGCGGTATGTCTGGAGACTAAAAACTTCCCATAGGTTAGAACCGTCGCCCACCCTTGGACCACCTTAGATTTACATCAGAGTGGTGTTCCATTTTTCTCATAGTTATGTGCCTTCTGTTGAATCTGCTAGTTTTCACTTTTTCAATTTCAATATAGTGGTCGGCTGGTCGGACATATTATTCTCTGTTTTTTTTTCCAACTTCTCATTTTCCTGCCTTGAAAATAGGTGTGCTCTGCCTCGACCTCAGCACTGACACCGTGAATAAACGATGGTTCACCCACTTTGCCCATCTTGGATAGGAGTGTGCGGGCAAAAGTTGCGTGAGGTAGTTATTATAGCGCCTGGGGTGTATCGCCACTTGGTTATGCCATCTTCCCTGCTATTGCGTTTCCTCTTTTCCGGCTGCCGGGATGTAGTGTTTGCCCACTTCTGGCACCATATGCTCTATCTCTCTTTTTAGCGAAGAGGTGAGGGCGATCAGTATGGTTCCACTTATTACTAGCTCTGCATCTATCGATATTGTCCAGTATGCTGACAGGACTTTAAAAAAAATAGAGAACAAATGGTTTTATCGGCAAAATCAATTTATTTTATTCTGCTTTAATACGGCTTTTTGTATGGTCCAAAAGCATGTCGAACGAGTGGCCACCAGTATGCCGGTGCACTCAACTGAGAAAGGAATATATTTTCAAAACCCAATATTTGATTCTAAGACTCAACTGTAAAAATATGATTATCGGCCTCATGCGAAAAGTCGCAATTTTTTACAAATTTTCAAAATTGAAGAAATACTTGAGGGGAATTTCGCCGTTATAATCTGATATCTGGAATCCAGCATAAGTTTTGCCCAACCATTTGGAAGCAGTTTCTTTGGTATTCAATCTCCCAAAAGTGACATCAAAATTTTCCAAGAATATTCTTTAAACTCTTTTACCGACAAATCTCAACCAAAGCGCATAAACCGTGGTAAGTGTAAAATAAATAGAGACTATTAAAAGCTGAAAAAAAAACAAACAAAAATAAAAGAAAATTATGCAAAAACGAAAACCCACGCGACCAAGGCGCACGCAGACAGACACGACAAACACCAAAGTTCAACTTATAAGGCGAGAACTTGTCTTGAAGATATTCTTGTATGTACAATACTTTGAATGCTTGCACAATACACTCATACATATGTAACTATCAACGGGTAATGCTGAGGCAGCAACATTATACATACCAACATATATTCATACATATCTATGCACGTTCATTGAATACTCAGGTGAGTATGAGCTCTTGAAACACCTGAGCGCGCTCACTTCTCTCGCACTCTTAAGAGTCCCATTATTTCGCCGCATTGCCATTTCGCCGTCAAGATCATACTTGCTGTGAGTTTTGGAACTGATCTTCATTTTGAAGCTGTTCTCTAATGCCAAAGACAGTTAGTTTGGATTTTCTTGATTCTCTGTATCATTTTAGTACTTTATAGAGAGCGCTGATGCTGACTTATTTGTTGATGTTTTTGCTTTTTATTTTGGTTTTCATTTTTATTTTCTGCTTATCTCGTATGGATTACCTGTATTTTCGGTTTTATCTGCTTATGTGTGCGTGTGAGTATCTGTGTGTTGCATTTACCTGAATTCGCTTCATTTCTGGTATTGTTTGTGGGCAAACAGCGAAAACTTTTGGAATTCTCCACAATTTCCAATTTCAGTTGAGAGTAAAACGTTTTGTTGCGCAGAAGCCGGAACGCACGCGGACAACGTGATTTTTTTTTTGAGAAATAAAATGATCAAATTAAAAAAGTTGAGTTAAAATTGTTTTAATAATTGAAAATTATCAAAAATAATTAAAATAAAAGTAAAATTCACTATTTTTTGTTGTTGCTGTAAGGAAATTGTAATATATGTCTTCCTGAGTGCGCCCTTGATTTTGTGACCAGCAGAAAATGTTGAAATCTTTTAAGTTGCAAAAATGTGTAGATTCTCTATTGCTATGCCGCTTTGAAGCTTTGAAAATTTGTTTTCCAAGTCTATAAAAATATGTGAAATGATCGCGCGGTGCGGAAACTGAAGTAAAACACAAAACTAATTGGAACGCGCCTTGTGTTTATAGTAAAAATTAATTTGCAAAACAAACAAATGATACGCGATACATTGGCGGCGCAAATATCTATACATATTTACATGGAAATATACAAACAACTCAAATAAACCGAATTGCTAAGGCAGAAGCCGCAGTTTTATATGGTATTGTCGTATGTTGCGTGTATGTATGTATGTATGTGTATGTATGCAGTGTAAATACACCACCAAACCACTGCCCAGTCTGAACGAGCGCACAGCAAAATTTTGCGCTGGAGTCACTTTGCCACTCGAGAAACTTGTTTAGAGCGTTAAAGTTTGCAAAAAGCTACGACGACACGACAATAAACCAACACAGCATTTATTTACACACCGCGCGCACTGTCGGTGAGTCTACCCCCACGAGTATTTGCAACGAAACGACACCAACGCGAAATGTACGCATGCGCAACCAAGTGTAATCCAACAGCGAACGGCGCGCATGCGCAAAACAAATAACAAATTAAAAAATTTATTATTGCATTGCTGGTGTGAATGTGCTTTTATGAAAACGTTAAAAAAGCGTTTTCAAAAAATGAATTAAAAAATTAATTAAAATTTAAAAAAAAAAGTGCAATAATTAATCTGAAAATTTTAAGAAAACATAATTATCTATACATAAAAATTTTAAAATTGCTCAAGTGAAGAAAGAAACCCCAGTCCGTGTGTTCTAATTTCACCCGCTTGCTTTGTGGATTACGACGCGGCGCTTTCTATAGAATGCCGTTAACGTGTCAGCGCTTCAGCTGTCGTAGTTGTTGTTGAGCATAAAATGCAAGGATTTTCGCTGGAGAGATTAACGCCACTGCTGCTGCTGGTGCTGCAATTCTCCTGCTGCCTCATAGATACCTCGCTAGCGGCGCGCAACCCACGACAGGGCGGTAGTGGTGGTGGGGGTAAAAATGGTAGGGCGGAACGTTATCGTGGCTCACAGCAAGCGGCGCGAAAGCGTCATAATGGCGCGGGTGGTAATGGCTTGGGTGGCGTGAATGGTATTGGATCTGCAGTAATGGCACAAAACCATGAGAATAATCATACGGAATTCGTGAAGGGAAAAAGTAAGTGTGAATACCTTTTTTTTAATAAAATGAAAAAATGGAATAAAAATTTTAGCAAAAAATTTGAATTAAAAACGAAATAAAACTACAAAAAAATAAAACAATTAAAACAAATCTAAAATAAAATTAATGGAAATAATATAAACCGAAAAAAATAAACAAAAATAAAATATTATAAAAGAAAACAATTTAAAATAAATTAATAAAACCAAAATAAAAAAGATATAAAAAACAAACAAACTAAAAAAAATAAAACAATATTAATAATGGAAAGTAAAATAAAATAAGCCAAAATAAAATTAACCAAAAAAAAAAAAAATAATAAATCAATCAATTAATAAATAAAGTTAATAAAAATAATGTGAATAATCCAAAATAAAATGAAATGAAGTAATACAATTTTTTCGTTTTCGTCCAAATAAAATAAAATCAAATGAAATAAAATCAAAAAATAAAATATTATAGTATAAAATAAAATAAAATATAATAAACTAAAACAAAATAAACTAAAATAAAATAGTATTTAATGAAATAAAGTGAAATGAAATAAAACAGAATAAACTAAAAGAATAAATGAAATAAAGTTAAATTTCAATAGCAAATATATCATATCATATTATTATTAAGAACACAAAATCTCCAGCTCGTTCCTTTTACACTGAATCAATTTCAACATTTTTCTTGCCAAATCAAATTTATTTGCTGTCAATTACAAATCTACATTTTTTTCGCAAATTTTTGTGTATTTTTTTGCTACCTTCACATACCGGTGGCTACTGTCATTAAATGCCAACATGTTTTGTCACAAATACTATATACCTATATAATCGTTTGCATGTATATACGCACATATGTATACCTACAAAGAAAGTTGAAAAAGCAGAACTGAGCTTCTTAAGAAATGTCTACTGGCTGTCTAACACAACGCCTGCACGCCTATAAGAATTCAATCAAACAAACACACATACATACAAATAAACGCGAAATATATATAATTACATGTATGTAAGTGCTTACGTGTAAATATGTCTATACGTCTGCGCATCAGCCTAATTGGTATGCAAACATTGGTGTTCATAGTTCACTCCGTTTCAGACGTGCAATGCATACTGACGTCACCTAATGGGGGTGTTTGGTTGCTGTCGTTAATTTTAATATGTGAACAAAACCATATAGAGGATTTTCTATTTTTAAAATTTTGTGCGTTTTGATATTTTTAGTGATTTTTGTTTTTCTTATTTTGCTGTTTTGGTGCCAGCACTTTGACGCTAATTTGGAATTTTCGCGCCCGCAAAAGTAATCAATCTTAGTTACCATTTTAAGTGTATTATGCGTAACTAACAAAACGGCAGTTAAAAGGAATATAAAAAAAAATAAATAAAATATTAATAATGCTTTTAAAGCTTCTGTTGCAAATGGTTGAGTTTTGCGGATTACTGCGATACGAGAGTCGTTCATCTATGTATGTGTAATGTTCTTTATCAAACAATAAAGGTGTTTTTTGGTTTTTTTCAATTGGATTTTGCATTTTAAATTAGTAAATGCATTCAAGTTTTTAGACACCTTTAAAATGAACCTTAATTACAAGTACAATCCTTCTGCGTTTAATTTTCTCTTATCTTATCAGCAACATGTTCAGCGTTTTTTTGTAGACTAGCTGACTGCCACTCGCCCTGGGACTACCAATTTGTGTCCACTGAATGACACTCTGACTTTATTAAATATATTTTTGTTTATTTACTAAAATGTTGTGTTTACCTTCTGCTGCTTGGTTTATTTGATTTACTCCACTCGCTGTACTATCTTATTTATTTATATTTATTGAGGTTCACTTTTTGGTGTAACACTTATATTCGAAGACTCAGACAGTCGTAACAGCGAATTCGGTTGTCATAAATTTTATATGTTTTTACTCGTATACATATACATACCTATGCTTTCGTAGAGAGTAGTGTAAATAAAAGTTTCCAAAAATAAATAACAAATTGTATGTACGTTCGTTACTTACTAAAAAGTTAATTCCATTTACTTACATACACTCTTCTCTGCGACATTTGAATTGCACTTTATCACCTGCATGTATATTTATTTTATTTATTTATTTGTGCCTATTATGCGTTCAAGAAAATTAGTACTTTTGTTCTGTATATTTATGAAAATATGTACATATATATTTGTGCTCGTGTACTAGTAAACTATTAATTAATTTAAAAAATTTCATTGTTTGTTTTCAATTTCTTTTTTTTTGATTTCTGTAATGAATTCTAATAATTCCTAGGGAAATTTAGGTTAACAATTTTCAGCCAAGTAACTAAAAATTTATATTTATATTTATATTTATATTTATATTTATATTTATATTTATATTTATATTTATATTTATATTTATATTTATATTTATATTTATATTTATTTTTATATTTATATTTATATTTATATTTATATTTATATTTATATTTATATTTATATTTATATTAATATTCATATTTAAAAGAAAATTTCTGTTAAAAATATTATGTATACATTTTTTTAAATTCAAATAAATATCATATAAATGCTAAAAGCAAAAACTCGGACGTTTTTGCCTTCGATTTATTTTACTAATTTAATAACATATCAATTCTAAAATAAAATACACATGTACATATGTACACATATATATATATATATAGATATATATATATATATATACAATTTTGTCATCAAGCATGTATTTGCCTCTCTGATATGGTTTTACTGCTGCTGCTGCTGATAAAAGCTATCGAAAAGGAAAATATAAAAATTGACAAAAATACTAAAACACACACATGGCACAAAAATATTGACTCAAGTGTTAACCGTAGAAAATTAAATAAATAAAAAGCAAAAAAAAAAAACACACGTATAAAATAAATATTATAAATATGAAGAAATTAAAATTAATATCAAGATATATGGATATAAAAACCGTATATTTTACCTGCCTTTCGTACATACGCGCACAGACACAGTACACACATGCACAAGAGCAAATAACTCGGATAAGCAAGAGATTCACAGCATGATATATATATATATACCTGCATGTGCATACATATACATGTAATATATATTTGTATTGCTGTACAAACTTTTATGAGTGCATATCAACCGAATTGTCGAAAAATGCTTGTTTGACTTCGAAAAATAAATAAAAAATAAAAAATCGTATACCGTGCGGGGCATACAAAAAAATATATGTAAGTGCACAAAAATAATTATATACATATGTATGTACAAATGCATATACATACGGACATATGTCGTAAAACTGAATGTAATTTGAAGTGCATCATCAGCTGCACGCTTTTTGGCGTTGAGATTTATGTGTATATTGTATATATATATACATACATACATAATCGGCGCTTTGTAACCGCTGAAACGATTCTCGGCCGAGCTCCTGCTCCAATTTGTGGGTTTGTGTCTTGATGTTTGTCCAACAAATGGGGAGACTTACAATTTATATTAAACCGCCTCCGAACGGCTGATGGGTTTTTATGAGGAACCTTAATTTCATGTCCGAAATACACTCGAAGGGGTTGACAATTCTGCTGATCTGTATGTATATATACATATACATATATATGTTATGGGTGTTATGACTGCGCGCATTTCGCTGATAAAGCATATAAAACTGTGATTATATCGCTTCATTTGCACTTACTTGTTGTTATTGGTTTTTCATTTTGGAAGTAAAATTTGTTTTTGGCGCAAAGCCGTTTAGTTATTGGTAAATAAAGTTAGCTACATACAAATGTAGGAAACAACTTGGATTGCTGTCAAATTTGTCAGCTTATTTGTAATAAATAATGTTTTTTAATATTTCTATTTACCAAGATTGCACTTGACTGCAGAGAAGCTAGGGTTGTCAAAAATGCACTGTACTTAATTCAAAAAAAAAAAAAAAAAAACGCATAAATCATTTCTTGCATCAATATTGAAATTTAGTGCTTGCATGTATGTAGCAATACGATTATATTTACATGCTCACAAATAATTTCTTTGTTGTTAACAGTTTATCGTGGTTGCTGTAATTTGTTGTAAAAACCCTTATTAATTATATTTTAAATATAATTGCTTAAATGGTAGGTACATATGTGTTTGTATGTACGAAAAGTTAAAAAGTGGGCCAAATAAATAGACATTTAAGCTTTTATTTTTTTTGTAAATTTTTATTTTATTAAGATTGATGGTCGGTGTAATGAAAGCCAATATTTAAGAAAATAATAATAATGATTACAATAAATTTTATGTTTTTAATACAAACATAGCATGTTGTTGACAGCGAATTATGATTAATTTGTCTTTTTGATGCATTTTGTATAATTAGGTCTAGTAAAAAGTCATCCATTATTCTTGCATTAAATTGAAGGCTTTATTTACCTTGGTTAGAATAGAACAAGTTTTGTCAAATATATACAGTTTCACGCTATAGCTTTGCCATTTTAAGATAATGTCATTATGCCTCGCTCATAGCACTCTTGTCTCTATGAACAAAAACTTATGACAATCGTTTTAAGCAGGCTTCTCTTGAGAAAAATTCTTCAACAACCAAATCATTCGCCACAATAAGGTACGGTTAGTAATCACTATGTGCGCAATCTGGACTATGAAGTGGATGCATAAGAATCTACTTCCACCAAGCTTCTGGATCTTCTGGCGAATTACTACCAATGTGTGTAGTCTGGCGTTGTTGTTGGCGATTTTTGGGCGATTGCTTCCTTCAGATGGTCTAATTGCCGCTCAGTATAGGTCTGAATTAAGAACTTGGCTGTAGGTGAAAAGCTCATAGTGGATGATTCCTTACCAATCCCATACGACTGTTTTCCTTAAACGTTCTTGTAAGTCATCCAATTTTCATCAAAAGCCACCTTCCACTACAGAAATGGGTCGATTGAGTCCATAAGTAATTTTCTCGTTAACTCTAGTGGCAAACATCGAGCTTTATTATGTCTGCAGTCTTTTTTGAAATACTTCTA